TGTCTTCTTTGGAAAAATGTCTGTTCATGTCTTCTGCCCATTTCTTGATTAGATTATTTGTTCTTTGGGTGTTGAGTTTGATAAGTTCTTTATAGATTTTGGATACTAGCCCTTTATCTGATATGTCATTTGCAAATATTTTCTCCCATTCTGTCGGTTGTCTTTTGGTTTTGTGGACTGTTTCTTTTGCTGTGCAAAAGCTTTTTATCTTGATGAAATCCCAATAGTTCATTTTTGCCCTGGCTTCCCGTGCCTTTGGCGATGTTTCTAGGAAGAAGTTGCTGCGGCTAAGGTCGAAAAGGTTGCTACCTGTGTTCTCCTTTAGGATTTGGATGGACTCCTGTCTCACGTTTAGGTCTTTCAACCATTTGGAGTCTATTTTTGTGTGTGGTGTAAGGAAATGGTCCAGTTTCATTCTTCTGCATGTGGCTGTCCAATTTTCCCAACACCATTTGTTGAAGAGACTGTCTTTTTTCCATTGGACATTCTTTCCTGCTTTGTCAAAGATAAGTTGACCATAGAGTTGAGGGTCCATTTCTGGGCTCTCGATTCTGTTCCATTCATCTATGTGTCTGTTTTTGTGCCAGTACCATACTGTCTTGATGCTGACAGCTTTGTAATAGAGCTGGAAGTCTGGAATTGTGATGCCGCCAGCTTTGCTTTTCTTTTTCAATATTCCTCTGGCTATTCAGGGTCTCTTCTGGTTCCTTTTTTTTTTTTTTTTTTTTTTAAGTAAGCTCCATGCCCAATGTGGGGCTTGAACTCACAACCCTGAGATCAAGAGTTGCATGCTCAGGGTGCCTGGGTGGTTTAGTTGGTTAGAAGTCTGCCTTCAGGGGTGCCTGGGTGGCTCAGTCGTCAAGCATCTGCCTTCAGCTCAGGTCATGATCCCAGGGTCCTGGGATGGAACCCCGCATCGGGCTCCCTGCTCTGCGGAAAGCCTGCTTCTCCCTCTCCCACTCCCCCTGCTGGTGTTCCCTCTCTTGCTGTGTCCCTCTCTGTCAAATAAGTAAATAAAATCTTTAAAAAAAAAAAAAAAGAAGAGTCTGCCTTCAGCTCAGGTCATGATCTTGGGGCCCTGGGATGCAGACCATGTTGGGCTCCCTGCTCAGTGGGGAGTCTGCTTCTCCCTCTCCCTCTTGTCACTGCCCCTGCTTGTGCTCTCTCCTCTCTCTCAAATAAATAAAATCTTTAAAAAAGAAGAAGAAGAAGAGTCACATGTTCTATAAACTGAGCCAGCCAGGCGTCCCGCCTCAGGTGAATTCTTGTCACCACCCGCACCACCGACTTCCACCCTGTCAGTCACCCCACATTTGGGGGTCCTCATCCTCTCAGGAGAGACACCCCATTTAGACACCACAATTGATTAAAAAATAGTAATAATAACTTGAGAAAGGACTGGAAATGAGAGAAAATTTTGAAAATTCAGAATTAGGGACTGAGTTAGCCTTGGAAAAACTCCCAGAAGTGAAAATGGGCAGAGGCGTGATGGGTTTATTTTATTTTTTTTATTTTTTAAAGATTTTATTTATTTATTTGACAGAGAGAGACACAGCGAGAGATGGAACACAAGCAGGGGGAGTGGGAGAGGGAGAAGCAGGCTTCCCGCAGAGCGGGGAGCCCGATGTGGGGCTTGATCCCAGGACCCCGGGATCATGACCTGAGTGGAAGGCAGACGCTCAACCAGCTGAGCCACCCAGGCGCCCCAGAGGTGTGATGGGTTTAAAGCACTTTCATACAGGGAGCTCCACAGGACACTAGTTCTGGACAATGTCACATGAACGAATAAGCTGGGAAATGCTGGGTTAAATACTCAATCCACCAGGAAATATCAAGAGGCAGCATTTCAAACACCATGAACTAGATGTTCCGATCACTGTCTAAGGTTAAACAGTTTTCTTTATGGCAGGACTGCTCAGAGCCCTTACCTTGCTGAATGTTGAAAAAATGGGGCAGACTCTGCGGTGTTCCTCAAATGTATAAGTTGCAGTGACTCAGACCCAGTAATGTGCCTCCTCGGATCCTCTCAGCCTGACCTCTCTGCTGGCCCCTTGGCTCCTTGTTCACGGAGACCCTGGATGCTACTTCGGCCTTGGTCATGGCCTCATCCATCCCCTAGCTCTGGTGGCTGGCTGGCTGGCGTTCCCTGCATTAAGTCTGGGCTCCCGCCGAGCCGCTGTTGCGCCCCCTGTGGTGGTAGCAGCAACAGCTCCAACCTAACTGCGCCCCGGAGGCTCTGCTCCCTCCACCACCTGCAGTCGGGTGGGCCTTCGAGCCTCCCCCTTCCCCCGCTGCAGCTGCCCCAAGGGGTCAGGTGGTGCCACCTGGCAGGTGCAAGGGAATTAACACTCTGGGAGGCCGACTTCCATCCTGAGACAGAGACGAAATTCCCTCCCCCTTCCCTCTGATGCACTGCTTTGAGCCGTGCTGTGTTCTTTATGACCTGCTAGAAACATCTCACGTGACTGAGCGAACCGCGGTGTGGGGGGGACGTGGGGGGCTCTTGGTGAAGCTGTGGCCAGCTCAGTAATGTCCCACATCGCATGTGCTTCACTCCTTTCCTATCCCGCTGCCACTTCCCTTCACTCTGGCTGCCCCCTGGGGTCGCACCCAGGCTTCAGCATTGAGGCTTTGCTTCAGTCTCAGTGTTCTGGAGAACCACAGAACAAGGCATTGAACCAGCTTCTTGAGGACCCCCTCTCAGGGCCAGTTTTCCATGGCGCTCCCATTGGGAAATGCTAGTTTAAAGAATTTCTTCTTTGATGGGATGGAAACCGACTGAGCCTGCAGCACACATCCGGTCAGGCCCTCTGACCCCCACCCAACGCCCCCCCTCCACCCCCTCTCTGAGCTCTTCTCTCCAGAACAACAGGCTGAATGAAACCCCCAGCTCTTTTGGTAATAACAGAAAGAGAGCACTGTGCATTTATTGAAACAACATGTAACACAAACTCAGTTGCCATCCACTATGTCAGGGATGGGCATTGACACCGGTACAGCACTTTCTAGGCCTGTCAGTGCTACCCAGCTCTCCCTCCCGGGAAAAGAAGAGGGCAGCTTTGTCAGCCTGGCTTCCCTCCCCTCTTTCTAACACCAGCCGGTCACACAATGACCAGGCATTATCATACAAAAGTTCCTTTACAAAAAGCACCAATTGGCATACATATACAAGTATATACAAAAAAAATCACATTTAAAAAATGTACAAAATATTCCATTTTGCACCAACGTAGAAAAGTGTCCTGTGTGGTTGTTTCAAGCATGTTTCCAATTCTGGTTCAGTGGCTGCTGGATACAGCAGTGGGGGTCCTACTACTAGTCCCTGCTCTCTCCCAGCAGAGAGAAGACACGCCTTCCCATTGCCCCTCCAGGGGCCCCGACCCCTCCCACCCTGGGCCTGTCATCAAGGCAGCTGGGCCCATCCCCACCCTCCCCAGTCTCTTTGCATCCAGAAGGTCTCTCCCTCATCCAGCTCCTTACTGGTGTCCTGCAAGAAAAAGACAAAGAAACACAAGGTGAGACAGGGCCCGGGGGGGCGGGGGGAGTGGAATCCAGGGCTTACCAAGCCCCAGTGACAAAATTATCAGACTCCAGTTCCTGCCTGGCCTCTGCCTTTTTAAACCAAAATAGAATTTAGTTGTCAAAACACCATGGATTGCACATCCAATACAAAACTCCAAAAGAGTATCCTGTATTTTTCAACTGGATTGGAATTTAGTTCCAATAGTAACTTGGCTTGAAAAATGATATTAGCAAACGTGCTAATTAGCAAACACGTCCTTTCTATGCGCCGCTGTGCTAAATGATGATCTCATTTACTCTTCCCTAGAATCCTTTGAGGTCAGTAATATCATGCCCCCATGTACAGATGAGCAGCCCCAGACTCAGAAAAGTTGTGAACAGCCCAAGATTATACCATTCGTCTGTGGGAAAGCTGCGATTCAGAACCCAGGCTCTTAACCACGCTCTGCAGCTCAGAGAGTTTTCTAAATGACTTGCCCGAGGGCACGTGGGTGATCAGATGCCCCCAGGGGCCCGCGGAGGCCGTGACGGAGTAAAGCCTGCAGGCTAACTGCGGTGGGCGGAGCAAACTGGCAAAGGGGGCGGCCCTTGCCCGGAGCCAGCTCTCTAGGATTAGGGAGGGGGGCGAGCATTGTTCTTCCCAAATTTTCACAAGAAGGTGGAAATCCAGATTCTTAGTTGAAATTTCCTTAAAAAAAAAAACAAAAACAGGGGTGCCTGGGTGGTGCAGCCGGTTAAGCCTCCAACTCTTGATTTTGGCTCAGGTCGGGATCTCAGGGTTGTGAGACTGGGCCTGGAGCCTGCTTGGGATTCTCTCTCTCTTTTTCTCTCTCTCTTTTTTTTTTTTTAAGATTTTATTTATTTATTTATTTGAGAGAGAGAGAGAGAGAGAATGGGAGATAGAGAGCACGAGAGGGAAGAGGGTCAGAGGGAGAAGCCGACTCCCTGCTGAGCAGGGAGCCCGATGCGGGACTCGATCCCGGGACTCCAGGATCATGACCTGAGCCGAAGGCAGTCGCTTAACCAACTGAGCCACCCAGGCGCCCCTCTCTTTTTCTCTCTTAAAAAAACAAAAAACCTGCCCGCCCCCATCTCCTAATTTTTAAAATGTTGGCAATTAATTTCAAAATAAAATTTTTTTTAAAGATTTTATTTATTTATTCATGAGAGACAGAGAGAGAGAGAGAGAGAGAGAGAGGCAGAGGGAGAAGCAAGCTCCCAAGGAGCAGGGAGCCCGATGCAGGACTCGATCCCAGGACCCTGGGATCATGACCTGAGCTGAAGGCAGACGCTTAACCATCTGAGCCACCCAGGCACCCTAATTTCAAAAATTTTAAATGTTGTGTTGGCCAAACAAAAGATCTCAGTGGGCCAAGCTTGGCTCCTAAGTCCCTTGTCTTTTATGTCTGTTATACTGTATTTTGCCTTCCACTCAGGAAGGTCATTTAGATATAAAATGAGAGCTTTTTATTATAAATAGTTTGGGTTTTGTTTTGTTTTGTTTTCTCTAAGGATAAAGGGAACGGGACTTTACCCTCAAAAGGTATAAAACACATATTAGGACCATCACCACAGATCGGCATCACCCCCACAGTCCAGCACAGGACTTTGCCCACAGTCAGGATTTCATGTTGTTGAATGACTGAACGAACGAACGAACAAATGAAGGTAGATGAATTTCTTACCTTCTTCCTTTCTCTCTGTGGACTCTTCCTGATCTTCTTCTTCTTCAATGAACTCTTCCTCTTCCTCATCTGTGTGACAAAGAACAACTGTGTTAGGATGGGGCCAGTTCCTCAGAGGAGCTGCTCCAAGGGGCACCAGGCTGGAGACAGCATTCATCCAAAACCCTTCCCACACCCAGTTGGGACCACATGGCCATGCGGTGACATCTGTGGCCCCGGAGGTGATGAGCTTGCCATACCTAAGCTGCACAGAGGTCCTCTCCCTCCTCCCACTGGCCTCCCTCCTTCCTTCCCACACCCCTCCAAAGGAGGGAGGTTCAACACACCCATTTGTTCTAGTAGCAACAGCAGCATCTATCACTTGACTTGCCAGTGACCAGAGGGGACTTTGGGGGAAGCACACTTGGTGCTTCTGCACATCCCCCAGTTAGACAGAGACACCTCACCTGGGAAGAATGGACTCCCTGGTTCTCAGGGATCAGAGTCCTTGTCTTGGAGGAATTTGCTCAGCCTTTGAAATCTGCTTGCCTAGCACTCCTTGTCCAGTTTTCCTCATTCCACAGCCTACAAAGGGGTGGCTGTGGGGTGGGGGCCACTCCTGGGGCCATCTCCTTGATAGCTCTCTGAAGCTGACAGACGGCGACCTGTGTCCTCACCTTCCCATCCTGGGACATCACCTTCAAGCTCCACTAACAGGGAACTTGTCTGTTCTCCACCCCCCACCCTCTCCCAAGCCTCTTCCTTAATGCTTTGGGCCCCTGAGGGGGTCACCAGAGAGCCAGGGCATTTGTCAAGAGTGTGTAGGGAGAGGTTTGAAAGAGTTCATGCCTCCAAAATGTCAGCTCAATTTCCAGCTACATAGCTGGGACCTGTGCGTAACTCAGGGTTTTTTGTTGTTGTTGTTTAATTATTATCACAATCAACTGCTCTTAGCAGCATCTGCCGAGCACTTACTATGTGCCAAGTGTTGTGCCAAGTGTCTTTTGTGTGTGTGTCTGCGTGTGTGTGTCTGTGTGTGTGCGTGTGTGTGTGTCTGCGTGCGTGTGTGTGTGCGTGCGTGTGTGCGTGTGTGTATCTGTGTATGTATGTCTGCGTGTGCGTGTGTGTGCGTGCACCAAACGTCTTACATGCATTGTCCTCGTGGGCTACTTACTAGCTGTGTGGCCTCCAGCAAATTACTGACCCTCTCTTGGCTTTACTTCCCTAACTACACAATGGAAATGACGATAGAAACTACCTCATAAAGTTAAATGACAGAATATAACGAGCAGGGTATTTTGGAGCTCTGAGCATAGCTTCAACACCAGATTCGGAAAGCTTACAGGACACAACACGAGACGTGCCAGTTCTGTCTTTCTCAGCTGGTCCTCGGAGCATCTCCTCTCAAAGCAATACAACACCTAGCAAAATTGGATCTGCTCTCTCTCTGTTGCCAAATAGCTACCTCGCAACTGTGTGCCCTTGAGCAAATTATTAAATCTTTGCTCTTCATCTGGTTTCCTCATTTCCCCTTATTACTTTTCCCTTATTATTGTTATGGTTGTGTTGTTATAATTATTATAGGTACTCTATGATAGAGTAATTGCAAACAGAAATGAGGACATTGTACAGGTAAATTAAGGTGCCCGGGTATCAGAGATGGCAACATTAAGAAGCTGAAGCTAAGACCAGCCTGAGGCAGTAACAACTAGTTGTTGTCTAGTACCTGACAAACTCCTCTGCATCGCTCTCTCTCTCACTTTTTGCCAGAGCACCATGATGTGGTCATTATTAATAGGACCACCTCTAATTTTTAAAGGTAGAAAATGCAGTTCAGGGGCACCTGGCTGACTCAGGCGGAGGAACATGCAACTCTCGCTCTCAGGGTCATGAGTTTGAGCCCCATGTCGGGTGTAGAGATTAGTTAAAATAAATAAAAATTACAAAAGAAAAAGAAAATGCAGCTCAGAGAGGGAGAGGGGCTCACCAAAGTTCACACAGATAACAAGTGGTAGAGCCAATATGTGAACTCAATCTGCCTGACTCCAGTTGCCGTATGCTCTGTTGCCCCATGCCTCCCTGCAGTGGATCCGTACATAATTTACTGAGCAAAATTATGTGCCAGGTATTGTGCGGGCTCTGGGCTCATGCTGAAGTTGGCCATATGAGTTTGGCTGTTTGCTATTGTACCTGCCTCCAGGTGGGGCTCAGCGGCAGGGAAGCAGATTGCCAGGGGTGAAGGAGGGAAACAGACGTATGCCACCACCACCTCCCTTACCTGTCCCAAAGTCGATGGCCTTCAGGGCGTCTGCTATGTGCTCTAAGTCCAAAGTGAAGTAGTCCATATTTTCAAAGCCCTGTTCTGTCTTCCCCAGCTGGCAACCCTTGGAAGCTTCCACAATGCTGTGGGGGAGGAAGAGAGAAAGAGGGGGGCAGGATGAGATTTCTGGGCCTCCGTGAAAGAAGGGGTGTCTTAGCTCCAATTCATACCAGTGCACGTATGTGTGCCCACACCCTTGCCTTGCACCTAGATGCTCCCCCTGGAGGGTGGGGTATTGCCTCTCCAGGCACAAGCAGAATGGGGGGCGGGGCAAGAAGGCAGGGGATGCAAAGGCCAGGAAAGCTAGCCTGGGCCAAGACCCTCCCAGCCAACCTAATGCAAAGGGGGAGGCCCACTGGACAGAGATCAGAGGCCCTGGTGGGAGCTGGGGCCTTGGATCATAGTCCTGGAGAGACACTGACCTTTTGATGAGTTGCTTAGCACTCTGTGGGGAGAAAGAGAGAGCAAAGGGTTAGGAGTACAGAAGAAGTGGCCCCAAGAAATCAGCAAAACCAGTGATGGTGCCACAGATGGGCCCTTGGTGCCATTCCCTAGGCTCGTTGGGACCTGCTCCCTGCCCTGAGTTGAACAGCACTTGGGTCTTTTCCTTCTGTTCATGGACTGCACTGGTTTTGGGCATCACTCTAGAACCCTTCCATTGTCATGGCAGGATGCTTGGATTTTCTGGGTATCATTCTAAACACTCTTAAACCCCCCAATCTCCAAGATGAGAATCATACCCTAATCACCTTTTTATACCCAGTGTCTAGCCCAAAGCCTGGTCCACAGTATATGCTTAGGAAATTTTTATTGAGCTGTGAAATCTTATCATTGATCCTCTTATGTACCCCCCCCAACCCAGCAAGCTTTTCTAGGGCAGGGCTGTGTCCCATTCATCTCTGTCACCTCTGCCTCTGTGGCTGACTGATAGAATGTGCTCAGTGAATAGGCTCTATGTGGACACTGCATTTTGCACCTTACAATGCCATTTCACAAACATCTCTTATGGGATCCTCACAAAATCAGTTAAGAGGAAAGAAGGGAGGAATCATTGCATGCCCATTTTATAGATGAGGACACTGAGGCTTAGAGCTTTAAATGGCTTGATGGAGCATGACTTGCACTTTAGTCAGAGCCGGTGAGTTGAAGTGACTGCCCACAGCCTCCTCATCCTGCTCACCATGAGGAAGATGGCCCCGCCAGGCTCGTCCAGGGACTGGATGGCCGTCTCCACCAGCTTAGTGGACTTGTCCAGCTGTTCCTGGTACTGCTGGATGAGGGCCTCGATGAAGCTGAGCTTCTCCTCCTGCTCTCGCGTGATCCGCTGCAGCAGCTCACTCTTCTTCTCATCCAAAATGGCATACAGTACATCAAACTTCTGGCTCAGCTCTTCCTTCACCTGGTGACTGTTCTCCTGGGGACAGAAATCTCAGAGTCACACCCTGTGGGGTCCTCCTCCCTATCCCCGGGTGTGCTAGGAGTCACAGGTCTGAAGCTGGAAGATACCTTGCTACACCTCCATTTTACAGAAGGCGAGATGAAGGCTTAGAAAAAGAAAGCACTTGCTGAGGTCTCATAGCTCCTTAGCAGACCAGTAACGTTTGGAGGCTGGTGTCATGGAGAAAGCTAGCCCCCTCCTCAAAATTAGAGACTCCAGGGTCAGATGGGGTGATTGATTCTGGGCCCCCTGTGTGCTCCCAAGTCACTCTGTCCCTCCCCCCGGCCCCCATTTTAGGATCAAGACTGGATTCAGGAAGCTCTGCCTCAGTTGGTCCTAGCAGGGGTGGAGAAACAGCTCCTCCTCCTTGAGGCTCCCTTCTCTCCAACACAGACACTGCATCTTAGTTTCCTTACCTGTAGAATAGGCATAATAATTGTATCTCATCAGACTGGAAGCATCTCATGAGTAGTAACTATGCATCCCTCCTTCCTTTGAAACCATCCTTCACACAACTCTTCATCCACCAGGAGTATGATGATCCTTTCCCCCCAATCTCATCTCCAGGCCCCACCCCAAGTGGAGATGGAAAATTATGGATGCTTTTGCGGAGATAGAAAAGTTTCCTTCTGCCTCCGCAGTCTATCTACTCACAGTGTGGTCCCTGGACCAGCAAGCTGGGCAAATCCCGTGAGTTTGTTAGAAAGAAATGCAAAACCTCATGCCTCCCTCCAGACCTACTGAATCAGAACTTGAATTTTAACAGGATCCCGGGGTGATCTGAATGCACTTTAAAGTTTGAAAAGCTTTAGTCTACCACACCCTGAAGACAATGCTCTGAAATCTACCAGTGCTGAAGAAATACGGAGAATTATTGCTGGGATGCTCCTTGAAGTCAGGAATCAGGTCTGTCTTGGTCACCACCCCATCCCCAGAGCCTTTGATGGGGCTTGACACACAGCCGTGTTCCAGAAGCATTTGGTAAATGAGTGGATGAATGGATTAATTGGTCCGCACTCCACCATCCCCTCTTGAACACCCCGGCCTCCAGGCCCCAACCAGTAGCTACCACTCCCAGGTGAGCCTTCACTCCAGAGACCAGGCTGCACCGAGAGGCTTCGGACCACAGACAGAGCTCTTTTCCCCCTCACCTTGGTCACTCGACAGGAGTCCTCCAGCTGAGTGATGATGGTCTGCACACGGTCGTTCCCCGCCACCAGCATGGAGATACAGTTACTTAGCTCAGTCTAGATGGTGGGGCAGTGCAGGGTGGGGGGGGTCGGATCAAGAGAGGAGAAACAGAAATAGTCTCAGGGCCTGTCTTCTCGGGAGTGGCACCCTCCTTCCCCTCTCTGCTAGAAAGAGCCTCTTTCTGAGGTGCTGCTCAGGTCCAGAGCAGAGAACATCAGGGAGATACTGCATCCCTGATATTACAAATGAGGCCCAGAAAAGTGGACATGAGCAAAATACAACAGCAACGTACTGTCAGAGGAGGAGTTTGTTTCTAGGAAAGAAGGGATGCAGAAAAGAAATAGAGTTGGAGAGTTCTAGAAGAGAGAGATCAAGAGGAGAGTGGGAGGCAGGGAAAAATGTACGGAAAGAGGGGCCACCGCTTACTGCATGGGCAGGATGATGGGACTCCCACAGGCCTGGGGGCCCCGGGGGAAGGTTCTCGGCCACTTTCTGCCGCAGGAGAGGTAATCAGCACAGGAAGAGGTATCTGGGGCCCGAGGCACCCTGTGATTTAGAAGTTGTGGCCTGAGAGGACCCTGGTGGCCTGACCCAGGGGTCTGTTCTCTCCCCTGTGGCCACACCCAGGTGCTCTCAAGTGGTATAAGTATAACCCATGAGCTCAGCCACCTCCCTCTGTGGCCTGGGAAGTCCCTCCAGAGGGACTATTCCTGAAAGGCCGGCTCAGCAGAGGGACAGGGATCAAATCCACATCCTGAATCATCTGGCCGTGCCCCACAGGCCCAGGCTGGGGGTAGAGGCAGCACTGGCCAGTACCTTCTGTCCCTGGAAGACGCTCTGCAGCGGGGCCACCTCACAGGCCTGGTGAGCCCCAAACACCTTGCACATGGAGCACGTGGGCATCTCACACGTGAGGCAGTAGATGTTGATTTTCTCGTCTTCGTGCTCCTTGCACATGGGGTGGCTGCCCTTCTGCAGGGGCCGACTGCAGTGGAGAAGAATCGCAAATCAGACCGGGGGGGGGGGCGGTGTCCAGAGTCCCTGTCTCCTCTCCAGCTCCAGGGGGCCACCCCGGATCTAGAGCCTGAGCCCTCAGTGACTGGCTTCCCCAGTCCTTTTCATTTTCTGGAGACCCAGAAGCAGGAAAGCCAGCGACACCAAGACTGTCCTCAAATCCTCGGACTCCGAGGCCAGTGATGGAGTTGGCCTTCGGCCCCACCAGAGCCGAACATGGGAAAGCTTATAGAATCCCAGGGTTGGGACGGGAGACGTTTTTGAGAAGAGGAGACTGCACCCCAGAAAGGTGAATTGACTTGCCCAAGGTCACCCATTAAGTCAGGGCGGGGTGGGGGGGGGGCAAGAGCGCACTTGCTCTAATTATAGTCCCCATAGCGCTTGGTTACGGCAGGCCGGACTCTGAGCAAAGTAATTTATACTCATGGCCTCACTGATTTCTATATTTAATCCACCAGGCTGTAACCACCATCGAAGCAGGGAAACTTGCTGGTTCTTCTCATCTCTGCTGTGTATGTGTGGCAGGGAGGAGGTGGTGATTCAGTGCAGGTGGAGAGAATACATCAGTAAGCACGCCATGAGGGCGGCCCCAGGCTCCGAGAAAGAAGAAATGTGTGGGCCCCAAGTCACACGACCAGAACCCGGGCAGCCCAGGGATGGCTAACAGCTCAGCCCTAAGCCTTGACTTAAAGTCGAGAAGGTTTTTTTCCCTTCCTAAACACACATTCTTAGAATGTTTTTCTCCCTCGGTCGCATTCTCTACTTAGGGACTCTGGTATGTTGTGTTTCTCTCGGGGCATCAGTTACTTCCCATCTGAGGCTCAGTTTTTGGGGGCTAAGTCCTCCCTCCCCAGCTAGACTATACACTCATTTAGAGCCAACCCCATGTCTACACTGCTGCTGCCTTCCCAGCCCCTAACCCAGCAAGCATCTCACAAATGTCAGTGGTGACTGTCCCCCGTCCATGTCAACGCCTCACCTCTGAATAGCCTTGCACAACTGGTCACACCCCAGGCATTATTACCTCTCCAGGTTCTTAAATAAGTCCCTTTCCAGACTTATCTTTCATCTTTGAGCCCAGGGCCCCTCCTGCTGGCAAGGGGTCTCCCTTTGCCACCTGGCTCTACCACCGCCCGGGGAGGGGAGGTCCGGAATGGCAGTAACTGCAGAGGTGAGGTAAGATCCTGAGGGTCTGGTGCCCATGCCCATTGCCATCCCCGATGCCCATTCTCCCAAGCCCAGGCATCAGCACCTGGGTTCAAATCCAGACTGTTCTGCCACTCACTCATTTTGTGACCTTGGGCAAGTGATTTCACCTCTCTGAGCCTTGGTTTTATCCCAGAGCTACTGGGATGTGTGTAGAGCTTAGCACAGAGGAGACCCTCCAAAAAGGGCAGCTCTCCCTGCCATTCGACTATGAGGAAAGGCCCCGAAGTGTTCAGACATAACATGCTCTTCATAGGTCGACCCTTCGGGGCAGGGGGCTGCCATACTTAGGGGCCATATTGATTTTATTATTATGAGAATGATCAGGGGCGCCTGGGTGGCTCAGTCATTGGGCGTCTGCCTTCGGCTCAGGTCATGATCCCAGGGTCCCGGGATCGAGCCCCACATCGGGCTCCCTGCTCCGCGGGAAGCCTGCTTCTCCCTCTCCCACTCCCCCTGCTTGTGTTCCCTCTCTCGCTGTCTCTCTCTCTCTGTCAAATAAATAAATAAAATCTTTTAAAAAAAAAAAAAGAATGATCAGCACTCTATCTGCACTTTTGTAATGTTGAACTCCAGCAACACAGAGGCAGTATCAGTTCGGAACGTTCACCATGGAGTAGTTAGGCTCCCTCCCAGCTTCACTGCTTGCTGAGTAGCCCTGGGCAAACCTCTGACCCTCTCTGAGCCTCCATTTCCTCACTGGAAAATGAGGGTAAGAATGCCAAATGGATTACTGTGAGAATTAAACGGGGGTCATGCACGGAAAATGCTTAGTACGGCGCTGAGACACAGGAGGTGCTCCATAAATATTTGATACGTTTAACATTTCCCATCGAAACCCTATTTGAGAGTCACAATAACAAACCTTACCATCCTCTTCTGCAGACAGGGAAAATTAAGTCCCAAAGATTCACTCAAGTTCCCACAGTGCCTTAGTGACAGTCGGACTCACCAACGGTTCGCCCGGTGAGGGCTTTTTCTCCCTAAGACTGGTCGGTCCCTTGTGCTTGGGCAGGACACTGCCTGCAGGCAGCACTGGGTGACGGTTTCAGACCAAAGGGCCTGAGGGCAGGAGCCTGGAAGTCTTGTCCGGATTAGTAAAGAGCCCCCTGGTGGCCGTGTCTCTCCCCGGGGTTGAGGCCACACTGCACAAATTGCGTTCCCACAAGTTCTACCCAGGATGGAGCTGCTATTTCACAAACAGGGAGCCTTGGGGCCAGATCTATGAGGCTGTTCTCTGCCATTTCTCTTCCCGGCTGGGAAAGCTTGGGCAATTGACATCACCTCTTTGAGCCTCAGCTTCCTCAACCGTGAAACGGGGATGATGAAAGTCGTGACTGGTCCACAGGATTGCTGTGGATCAGCAGGAGGAAGCTTCCCCGGGGCCCGTGATGACAGCTATTACCTTCACTATAGAGAGACCCTGCTGTGTTCTCTCTGGGCGCTTTTCTCTGCTTGTCGCGGCCACTTAGCTGGCCCCAGTGCGTCCCTCTCCCTGTCACATCTCGCCCTTCCCCTGGTTCCTGTCTCAGTCTCTCCTAGGAGGGCAACCTAATGTGTGGGCTCTTCCCGTTCACTGAGTGACACTGAGAGCCCATGCTGGGGGATAGAGATGAGCCTCTGCTCTGCCCAAGGAAGAGAGAGATGGCTCTCTGGACTGGGGAGTGTAGCTCTTGCAGCCAGAGCACTGGATCCCCAGCAGATGGGAAGAAGCCTGGGAGAGCTGGGCCCAGACCGGCTGGGGAGGAAGGATGGGCTCCCGGCAGCTGGGCGGACTGACCTGGAGCACTCCTGCTTGTAGATATCAATGATGTTCTCCACCAACAGATTCCTCTGCAGGCCGTACACTCCATGACGATCCATGATCACCTCGTGACGGCAGGAGGGGCAGCGGAAACGGCCTCCAGACATGGACACGGAGCCAACCCGGTTGGTCCAGAAAGGATTTGCGGCCTGCAGGTGGCAAGGGCAGAGGTGAGGCCTGGGACAGTCTCCAATTGTCCTTCTTCCTGCTTCCACCAACCATTCATGTCAAACCATTTGACCTGGAGCTCCCCATCCTGAGATGAGAGCCAGCCCACTTACAACGGGGAGCACCTGAGAAACACCTAAGCAAGTTTCGGAGTCAGACATAGGTTCAAGTCACGGTTATCCTCTGAATGACCTTGTTGCCCCAAGCCTCCAACCCATTCACTCAACGGGCATTATCATTAGACCTAGCTCATAGGGCTGCTAATTCAAAGATAAAATTGTGAGACAACATTTTGTAAAGTGCTTCTGGGAACCTTGAGTCCTGCCTCCCTGCCAGGCCACTCCTCCCATTCCTTTGTTAAGGAGATGGATCCCCTCCAGCCCCATATTATAGGGAACCAGCCTCAAAGAGGGAAGATGCCTCTACTGCCCAGGGCTTCCTGGCCTCCCTCCTCCTCCTAAAGCTCTGGGCCGCCTGCCACCAGGGAGCTGGCTCCAGCCCCAGGGGTCTGGTTTCTCTCTCCTCTCCGCCTGCCTCTCCCACTTATCGCTTGAGGCATTTGACTCCTGATTGGAGAGTCGACTGCGGGCTCAGGGCAGCGGTGGGGGAGCTATGGGCAGGGTGGGAATGGGAAACAGGCGTCCTGGAGGAGAAAATGGGCAGCCAGAGCCGCCGCCCCTGAGCCCCCTTCAGCCCAGAGGCCTCTGCAGGGGCTCGCTCTGGACGGGAGAAAGCCAGCCCTGGTTCAGAAGTCCTGGACGAAGAGACAATGGCTTTCACCCCAGGAATAGTGAGCGGCCACCTGGGGCCCAGGGCCTGGCGCTGCCCGGCACTGACCTGGAAGATGTCACTGGCGCACTTCCGGCAGAGGTTGTGCTGACAAGGCAAGATGACCACCGGCTTGGTAAACACCTCCAGGCAGATAGGACAGAGCAGCTGCTTCTCCAGGTTCTCCATGGGGTTCCCATCCGGGATCAGGCTTGATTTATAATCCATACTGCCAGGAGGTGTGGGGGTTCACCTGGCTGCCTCCTTCACCTGCCTCGCTCTACGTAGACCTGGGTTCTTGCCTTTGTCACAAAACACCCACCCCGAGCCTCTTTGTCTTCTCCTGGTGCCCGAATTCTGTCCTGGTCTGAGGCCCCTCTGATATTTATAGCTGGGTCTCGGTCACATGAGCCCCAGGAGGGGACCAGCTGAACATTCCGATGCCAAGTGGCTGGCTGGGGCTTGAGTTTCCTCCAGGCCTGAAAGACAGGCCCTCTCAAATCACATGTAGGGATGAGCAATGGCTGTTCTCCTGGAGGAGGGTCGTAAACAAGAACAGCCTGTTCGTGGGCAGGCATGGCGGGGAGGACAGGGTACCCGAGTTTTCCCCAGAAACTGGTCTCCCATACCAGGCTGGTAAGCCAGCTAGGGGCCCCAAGAGTGAGCCACTAGGATTTGCAGGATTAATAGGCCATGATCCCTCACTGACCTAAACCCCCTCCTCTAGAGTACCGAGTAGCTCCCAAGAAGAGGGGTCAGGGCAACCCCTCTCTCTGAGCCCATCCCTGAGCACAGAATATTGCTAGAGACCTTGAGACCCCACCCCAGGTAGCCCATCGAATATTGCTAGAGACCTTGAGACCCCACCCCAGGTAGCCCATCCCTCCTGCATCCCTGGCCACTAAGTTCACTCTAACGTTGAAAGGGTTTCCTTGAGACATAATACTTGTTTTATAGATTTTGACCCCGCGGTCCAGAGAAGGAAAGGACCTTATTCAAAGTCACTTGGAAAGCCAGTGGCAAAGCCAGGAATCTTTTTCATTCATTGGACATTTCTCTGAGCACTAACCATACATCAGGCACCAGGTGACCGATAAGTGAGTAATCCTTTTCCCTACCCTGAGAAGCTCACAGCCCAGGGAGGGAGGCAAACAGAAATAGCTCTTATGGGGTGCCATGAAGCCTTATCTGGACACTTAGAGGTTTTCCAGATGTTCCCCTCTGCTCTCTGCACAAATTTTAAATGTTTCTCTATGTTCTTCTGGACATCTTCTGTGTTGGCAGGTAGAAGTCACTAGAGTAGTTCTGATGGCTATTTTTGAGGTAGAATCTCAGGCAAAAGGTTATAGGGTCCAGCCACTGTCGGGTGCTGGGGCAAGAGTGGGAGCAGTGACAGCGGGCCTCAAGGATGAGCCTAAGGGACTGTGGAGCATACAAGAGTATCCGGGGTCTCACAGAAGGAGAGCAGTAGGAGAGAAAGTTAGATCACCTCAGCCTGAAGAAGAGTTGATGGTTAAAGCCATCATCTAGTGAGTAAGGGGTGAGGGGAGGAAATGGGGGCAAGAACCAGTCATAGAAAGAGGAGGAGGCCCAGAGGGCAAGAGGCTGGGGAATTTTTTTTTTTTTAAGGTTTTATTTTTAGGTAATCTCTACACCCAACGTGGGGCTCAAACTCACAACCCCGAGATCAAGAGTCGCACGCTCTTCCAGCTGAGCCAGCCAGGTGCCCCATGAGGCTGGGGAACTTTAAGGAGAGGGTGGTCCCCGCCAAAATGCTAATGGCTAGTTTTTGCTGAGCACTTACCCAGTGCCAGGCACCGTGCTAAGTGCTTCGTGCGAGTTATTTCATTTTATCACTGCAACAGCCCACAACGTAAGAACTGTTTTATCCCCATTCCACAGATGAGGAAACTCCAGTACAGAGCATAAAATAACTGGCATGAAGTAACACAGCTTGCAAGAAATGGCTCTAGGACATGAACCCAGGCTTGCTTGACTCAGGAGCCCAAGCTCCTTTTTTTTTTTTTTTTAATAAAGATTTATTTATTTATTTTTAGAGAGAGAGAGAGCCTGTGAGCAGGGGGAGGGGCAGAAGGAGAAGGAGAAAGAGAGGAACAGACTCCCTGCGGAGCGCAGAGCCCAGCGAGATGTGGGGCTCCATCCCACAACCGCGAGATCAGGATCAAGCCGAAATCAAGAGTCTGAAGCTCAACCCACTGAACCACCCCGGTGTCCCCCAAGCTCCTTCTATCTCTACTGAACTTCAGGTCAACACTGCCAGGCCAGCTAGGGGTTGGAAGAGGGGGAGGGTTGAAAAAAGGCCATCCCTTCTTCCTTGCTCACACCTCGGTTTTGTTCAGATATCAGACAGCACCGTTCTCCAGGCAGGTGGACCTCTCCAAGGCCACACGAGACTAAAGCTTAAACCTATCATGGTAATCCCATTGCCTTTTGCCTAAGTGATATAGGTATGGCCTAGGAGACCCAAGGTTCATGGAAGTGGGCTAAAGATAAAGGATTTCCTCCCTCATAAAAAGTGCAGTGCAAAAGGAAAGCTTCATTCTTGCCTTTGAATGGAGCTGTGAGAGGGTGGGGCAGCTAGCTTGCAGCCAAGGGGGGACAAGTCTCAGGGAGACATCCACTCCCTGAAAACAGCAAGGAGAGCCTGTAGAAAGCACAGGTGACATTGATGCAGTCACTGTGCTACTGATTTGCCCATCCCTGGACCTGCCCCCCTCCTGACTATCTAAGATCTGCGATAACAAATGTCATCATAGTGTAATTACTCTGTTACTTGCAGCAGAGAACACTCTGTATACATTCAAGACTCCACCTCCTAGATGCCGATGATTCTCACAGCTCTATTTCCAGTTCAGACCTCTCTCTCCCTTAAGCGGAAAATTTGTTGGAGATCCTTCCTGGGATGTCCCAACAGCACCTCGAACTCCTCATACCCGCAAACAGAACGCACCATCTTCCCCCAACACCTAGCTCCTCCTTGCATTTTCCTTGCCTCGTGTCTCAGCCAACAACGCCACCATTCATCCATTTTGCACAGACCAAAAAGCTGAGAGCTCACCTTGGGCTCCCCGTCCCCCCCCCCCAGTTGCACACCTAGTCAATCTCTGCCTCAAACATGGGTCCATCTTTTCTTCCCACCTGTCATCTTATCATCATCTGTTTGTGAGTCTGATTCTCCCTCTGGACCTTGAAGACTTTGAGGGTAAAGACTGTCTCTGTTGATTCTGTACCCCCAGTACCTGGCACACAGTAAGCACTCAACAAATACTTCTTTTTTTTTTTTAAAGATTTTATTTACAGCGCCTGGGTGGCTCAGTTGGTTAGGCGACTGCCTTCGGCTCAGGTCATGATCCTGGAGTCCCGGGATCGAGTCCCGCATCGGGCTCCCTGCTCAGCGGGGAGTCTGCTTCTCCCTCTGACCCTCTTCCCTCTCGTGCTCTCTATCTCTCATTTTCTCTCTCTCAAATAAATAAATAAAATCTTTAAAAAAATAAATATTTTATTTATTTGACAGAGGGAGACACGGCGAGAGAGGGAACACAAGCAGGGGGAGTGGGAGAGGGAGAAGCAGGCTTCCCACTGAGCGGAGAGCCCCATGCGGGGCTCGATCCCAGGACCCTGGAATCATGACCTGAGCCAAAGGCAGAGGCTTAACGACTGAGCCACCCAGGCGCCCCTCAACAGATACTTCTTAAATGAGTGGACTAGTGAATGAGGGAGCAATAGGGTCACTGTCAGACTTGGGAAAGATTAAGGTACCTGAGCGAGTTTGTTTTGGCTGACACATTGGAGAGAAAGGACTGGAAGATTGGAAGGGGGGTGATGGAGTGAACAATTCAGGCCTCAGAAGGGAGAAGGACACTCTATGTCTTGAGCTGGGAGGACAGGAAAAAGGGGAGGATGGAGGTGAGAATCGGGTGCTGGGAAGTGGAGAGAAAGGTTGAGGACCTCGGTCAAGAGGGAGTTGAGGCCGACTTCTGAGGCTCGGCAGGGGGCCGGGGAGCATGAGTGGGCGGACCAGCCAGTGCAGGAGGAAGTGCCCTAGAGAGGGCTGGAAGGGCTGTGCCTCACTGGCGTTTCATAACCATAGCCTTCTATTTGTGAGGAGCCATTCACATGGTTGTGTTGACTTTGTCCAGCCGCACTTGGCAGTCCGGGTGCAAAAGCCACACAAATGGACAGTGGGATCCGCTCCATCCCGGGCCTCAGCCAGGCCAGCGCTGCTGACAGTCAAGAGGTGAGGAAAGGGGAATTCCCACATGGGCCATGCTGGGCATCAAAACATGTCTTGTCGCTTAATCCTCCCCACAGCTCTGCGAGGGTGGTATTATGATCTCCATTTTTTCCCAGGGGGAAACAAGATTCAGAGAGTTAATTGGCCTGGCCAAAGTCACACAGCCCAAGCAGCAGAAAAGAGCTGGGGTTCACATCCTCCTAACCCAGTGCTCCTCACGCTGAAGCATTTATTGAGTGCTTATTGCGGGCCAGGCATTGTGCTAAGCCCTTCCCATCCATCCTCTCCTGTTCAGTCCTCAGAATAATTCAGGCACACGTCATGATTTTCCCTGTTTTGCAGCTGAGCAAAGAGGCTCAGAGAGGTTAAGTCACTTGGCAAAGTACCCAGCCAGTGAGTGGCAGAGCCAGGATCAGAGCCAGGAAGTTATAAACTAGTAACATTACCAGTTGCTGGAACATACTAGAAAGCTATGGACTGACAGATGAAGAGACAAACAAGGAGTATCAGTGGTGCATCTGATCCAGAGCTTTTGACTACTACATTTTACTGCTTCCCTCTTTGCACATCTCCTTGCTTATTTATTTATTTTTAAGCTTTAATTTATTTGAGAGAGAGAGAGAGTGAATGAGAGAGAGAGAGTATGAGCAGGGGAAGGGGCAGAGGAAGAGAGAGAACCTCCCTCTGAGCAGGGAGCCCAATGTGGGGCTCAATCCCAGGACCCTGGGATCATGATCTGAGCTGAAGGCAAACACTTAATTGACTGAGCCACCCAGCTGCCCCAATATTTACTTTTTTTAAAATTTTTTTCAGTTTTACTCTTTATTAATGAAAATTTCAAACACCCAGAAGTAGAGAGAATAGTATAATGAACTCATGTAACCAAACCCAGCTTCAACTGTTACCAACAGTTCCCCAATCTTACTTCATCTACGCCCTCACACACTTCTTTTGTCTGAAATATTTTTTTAAACATTTTACTTATTTATTTGACAGAGAGATACAGAGCGCCAGAGAGCACAAGCAGGGGAACTGGCAGAGAGAGAGGCAGAGGGAGAAGCAGACTCCCCTCTGAGCAG